TCAGTTATCTAGTATTCTTTGCCGAACCTGTATAACTCTTAAACGGCAAGCTTTCCTCATTAATGATAATAATTCAATGAATTATACTTTTCACGGGGATATTCATCACGTACCAATATCATTTGGAGAAGAATTGAAAACTTGGGAGGACTGAATAGTTTTTTCGTTCTTGTATACGACTTGTCAGCAGAGCACGCCAATGACCTTCCAGCTCTACGACAAGCAATTTACCATTAGGTCATTAGATGAAGAGGTGAAGAGAACAAACTCATAAAGCTGATTCAGTGGAAAGAATCCCGTAAACCAGTAAAATTGGGATGACTTTAAAGGTCGCCCTAGAAATTTATAAGATAGCCAATTACATTTTTTTAGTTTATGGAAAAGTACTTTTCCAGGAGAAATGCAGAAGCCCGATCGTTCATTTCAGTTGTTGCTAAGGTGGTTTTCAAAGTCATTCATGAATGAACTTTGTGAATTGTTCACGTGATTTGACTGGGCCTTTCAGTACAATCGATAGTGTCACGTGTTTATGACTTTCTGTACGCCGTACTGATAGAATCATATATACTTCACTCTGAATACCACAAATACGAAACGACTTTTGAAACCACTCCGGCAACTTCTGAAATAACGAATCAGGTTTTGGTATTCTAGCTCGAAAAGTAGTTTTTCATAAAACAGAGAAGCCTAATTGGTTGTCTCAGCAGTTGTTGTGGTGGTCTTTAAAGTCATTATGAATATGCGTATGCATATGTAAGCCATTAAATTACACCAGTGAAACAACGAAAAGTAGTCATAGCAACCGCTTAGAGGTAAAGCTTGAGTGAACGAGACTGTATTTAGAGCAACTGTAAGCCAATATAACATTTACCTACTGAAAAAGAAACCATATAAAACAAAACTTTGAACGAATATTAGAGAAAATGACAATTTTAGGAATGAACCTTCGATTCCTAAAATTTAGTTGCCCATATTAAACACTTACGTACGACTGAATACCAGAAAAATCCTATATAAGCAGTAATTCAACAACGTGGAATACAACTTCTGAATTCGAAGTGCTTGTTTGACTTAATAGGACATATATTCTATAGTTGTTTTGGTTAATTACAAAAGAAAAGCTTACGATCTAATCAACAGCTGATCACTTCATGTAGTTGTTTTTAACTGTAGCTCTGGGCTAAGTTGTGATAATGATGAATAGCGGCTAGCAGTGAAAACCATAAAGGGTGTTTTTCGCTACTTCGGACTAGTCAGCTGAATGTACCTGCCTTCCAGTAAACCATATTGTTCCCACTAAAACTTGAACTTGAGACCACTCGCTTTAAACACTGGACAGTTATTCATTACATTCGAGTCTTAGTAGAAACAACATTGCTTACCGCTATCTATCACTGCTATAAAACTGAAATACAGGCAGTATTGAGGCATCTGTACAGGAGCACATGTGCCAATAAAGACCGATATTGTCGGTCCAAACAACGATGTGAATCATTCTGTTCATAGTTAACAAGCTGTTTATGAGAAGATAAAATACATTCTTGTTTTTAACAGTATTCGATGACTAGATGGCAACTGACACAGATATCAACTCACAAGTACTGATAGAAGTTCCAGGACAAGTTTCTTATAATGCTAGGAGACCAACTAACTTGATAAGTTGTGTACTACTAAATAAGACGTGACATACTGAGCAGCAAAAGTAAACGTACAAATTAGGTGTTGTGATATAGATAATTCTATATTACGGTGCTTATTGAATACATCACACAATGATATAGTATTATTAATAACGGATGACTGAATGACGATTAGCAAAAAACTCCTCTTGAAACGTCATCCAGTAAATAATGCTTGATCACTATGAGCTATATAAAATTAACAATGTATTATGGGATTAAAAAGAAACGTTATGCAACAAGTAAGTATTTTATTTGCGCATAATGGCCCTGACTTCACTCCTATACAGGTTATTCTTGAAGGGATTTCTCAGACAATATCAGTTGCGATTTTAAATATTCAGGTAAGACAGATATTGTCTACGATTTGTTTTCACTGCCAAAATATTCCTGTAAAGGCATAAGTGAACAGTAGTCGACAGCAAAATTAAGTTTACGACCTTTTATTTGATGCTAGTATTTTTGTATAAGTGAGGAGACAAAATTGGTTGTCTACAAATTAATAGGTAGTGTTAGGTTCAACAGTACCAAAAGAAAAGTATCGAAATCTGTATCTTAAGTCAGTGAGGCATTTGAAAAGGGAAAAGTAGCACGCAAAAAATGACACCCACCAGCAACTGTGATATTGCATATACCTTTGTCCTTAGGTTGAAGTTAACTTGGAAGCTTATAAAAGCACTTGCTTTGATTTAATTTATCCAGTCATTGCTTGATATGCTGACGATTGATGGTAGCTAGCAGTGGTTGGAGACCCTAGGTGATATGGCTCAGAACCGATGTCAGTGGCGCAGATGTATACATACATTATCCTCATCTTAACAACGCTATACCGAATCTCCCCATTTTGTCACTCCTCTTTCCCTTCTTCTAGTACTTTACATTTCTTTTGACTGTATTCACTTATCTTCATCCTTCACCTCATTACCTTTCTACTTGATGAACTGACGTGAGGTGTGGCAACTCGGACCGTTACGCAGTAATGCCTGGTCCTATGTTGATAATGATGATGTGAAATATAAGATATACGTTTTGTCCCATTTCGGACTCGTCAACTGGATGCACCTGCATTCAAGTGAGTGGTGATTGTTCCCACTGGGACTTGAACAAAGGACCAATCGCCCCAAACGCTCTCTGTTCTGCTATATAGCTGCAAAACATGATCATTTGAGAAACAGAATGAGAAGGCTTCAGTTACTTGACCATCATTTCCTTCGTAGCATAGGCCGAGTTTTGTTGTGCCACCATGTCAGCAACATAAAACTCAGGCAGAGCGTTTTAAGGAGAAGAGAAAAGGTAGTTGACGGGTTTGTGAGTCTTCATCGACTCAGATGACTCAGATGCCTAGTCACCATCTGCCTCGCTGTACAAAACTAGTTGGAATACGTTTAGGCTGGAAAAATGGATAGACACGGAAAGACATGAAAATGACATCATTTCTTGAAGCCTTCAACTGTTAGTCACAGCCGTGTAAGTGTTGCATGACCTCCGAAATTGGTGTTTTGAAAATCTAGGTAATACGACTCAGAATCGATTTCACTGATGCAGATACATCGACACACTATGTGCATCTTAATCGTCACGGTACATCTCACTATTGTTTTATTTCTTCTTGTTCTGTTTAAATAATTTATACTACTTTTGACAGCTATCTTCTTTATCTTTCTGTTTTTCATGCTGAAATCTTCTTGCTTGACGTGTTGGTACGAAGTGTTGCAAATTGGACTGTTACACAGTAATGTCAGGTATCGGGTTGACAAAAGCTGACTTTATCTAACTGAAAACAGGCATCTGATATAGTACAACACAATCTAGTCAGTACCATTTTCTGTCAATAAGGTAAAAGTGAATATAGCTGCTGATATCTAAAATATCATTCTCATCATTAGCTATGTGTTTTCCTACATTGAGCTGTAATACGTTTATTGAATTACCCAATCTATCTCAATAATGTAAATGTTGTGGAGTTTTTTTGAATGACTGATAACTGAAAAAATCAAAGTTACTTTATCACTGATCATTTTGGCTGCTGTAGCATCTCAGAGTATGATACTGAACGGTTTGGAAGCAAATATCTTGCATTATTAAGGAAAGTACTCGAACTTGCGTGCCTTCACTATTTATTGTTAAAAAAAAGAATTGATACGGGTTGGTAATTGAGGATAAAATGAAGATCCGAGCCACGGCTGGATTGGATCCAACAGCCTTTAGGTTGTCTGTCCAGCTATCAACCAACTGAGCTTCACTAATCAAGGTTTCACCTGGTTGCAGTATGAATCCGTGACGCATAAATGTCCGTCCTTGTTATTGATGTTTGCTGTGCAGTCAGTTCTTCTTATCTCAATCCGAATCGAGCTAAGTTAGAGAGGTAGTGTGTTATATAGGTCACTAGCATGTCTAAGTGAGACAGTCGTGACTCGGATTTTCATTTCACCTTCAATCGTTACCCAGTCTCAGTAACACCAGTCTACCAAAATCACAACTTTTTCAAATCGTCGTACTCATAAACAGGCAGTAATGTCTACCAGACCCAAATATTCTTGTAAAGATTTATGAAAATCTCAAAACGAAATATGATTCACTAATCAGGTGTATATTATATTGCATCATATACACTACATACTGTGATCCCGATAGGTATCGATTACTTTAACATAACTTTGGTGACAGTTAATGTAGTACCTAATCAGTGTATGATGTTTTTCAACAGTAAAACTTTAGATACATTGCTCAAGCAACAAGTGAGATCACGTATTACGAACATCTAGTTCATTATTATGGCACCAAATATGACAGAGTATCAGTTACTTAAAGAATAGGTCTGGTAATGTGAAAGGTCATTTCCGTTACAAATCATTTTACTACACAGGCATCATGATGTTTTCTATATCATCATATCCACAACAACATTCATACAAGTAACTGTTGGGTTGTTTCTACAGAAAGGTACTTCTCTTATTAGCTGAATAAGTTGCTTTCGGGTTCGATCTCTTTTGTGTGTTCACACTTGCTGGATTTCTTAAAGCCATTAATCAGAAGCTGAGTGTTAAAGCTCTAAGACAGTGTTGGCTTGATAACTTGAAGGACACTAGTCCCCTTTGTACTCTGACGTAGGTTTACGTTCACAGTCAATTAACACCTTATTTCCATTGAAACTATGGTTTATCTAGAAATACCATAAGTTACAATAAACACTTTTAATTTAAGGTGTTTCGAACACCGTACGTAAGGCTATAGGACTATCACAAAAAGCCTGATTAGATAAATCGATTATATGACGTGAACCATTTATTATCGAAATGATAACAATGTTGAATAACTTACTCATTGTGAGCTCGAATCGCCTGCTTATTGAGTTTGTTTGGGCACATATGTAATGTTCAGTAAATAATAACAGCAGTAAAAAGGCAGATATTTTAAACGTGGTCGCTTTTATCATATTACGGACATTTCATTCTCATGGAATGCATACAGACATACGAATGCAACACCCACATTCGCATTCTGAAAATTAATCAATATTTTCATGTATTTTAAGTCCCAATCATTTCCTCTTATAAAATATTGATTAGTTATTATTTAATGAGGTTATAAATTTATGAACAAACACATTTTACTGTCTGTGCAGCAGTTCAATGGCGTTGAAAATATCCACCTTTACATTCTGTTTAACCTGATGTTTGTATGTCTATACTGGTATTTTAACAAAAAATTTTAAATCAGCACCAAAGTATGTAAACACATTAAGTATAAATTGTGTAACCTTTGTTGCCACTAATGCGCCTCCATCCACATGTGATAATTGTATCAAGTCTATCATAATAAACGAACTTATTATTCTAACAGATTCAGTTGTTCTGTACTTTGCTTATATTTTCGATTGATGGTTGTCTACTTTGAAAGTTGGATTTTTCTTTCAGGCTGCAAATGGTACCCATTGTATAAACATTGAAGCGATAAATATTGATGGTGTCCAACATTTTCAGACAACGAACAACAACTCTTTGAGTCCACTGTGAAGCATAATTGTAATTATCAGAGATATCTCTGACCAGATAGGCTGGTGTTAAGAAGATTCGACGATGACTGGAGGTGGTATTAGTCGTACTACGTTTGGTAATGCTAATAATAATGAATACCAGGTATTTGGATCTCTTAATAATTATGTTCAAAGCAAGAACGTTAAACTGAAGATCTGAAAACTTATGTTCAGTAAACAAGTTAGAGGAAGGGTTATGCATTACTGTAAAGTGTGATAATGTTCTTCGAGCTTTGACATTTTTTCTTGAACGTTTCATCACCAGATTATGCGCCTTCATCATCACTTTTCGAAGTGAAGCACATTTGAGATGCATAGATGTTTAAGAAGGATACTTGCCAACCTTGAGCGTTGTTGGCTCATTAGCAGAAGTAAGTTTGCCTTTCTTTTTATTACAGGTTAAGCTCTGTAGTTGTTTTTGTTATCACTTGACATATGCCATTGAACTATTGCCTAGTTATCGATTTGTTTAATTGATTTTCAGTCGGCTGATCTCTTCTTAGTAGCAAGTACGTTGGATCAACGCCAACATGTCTATCGATTGCCGCTTAGCTACCATAATTCCGGGAACTCACTCACAGTTTTTAAACTTGCTTTCTGTAATACTTCCACTTTGTCGCAATCGAAGTTTTGACTGTGTTGGTCTACGTGTAAAAGATGATATATCTTGTTGTTTGACTGCAAGTTGAGACTCAAATTCTGACTTATTGGGCGACTGGATTGGCCAACGTAGTCATGTTGACAGTCGTTGCAAATTAAATGTCTTTTTTCTTTGCGTATTAAATTTTTCAGTTTTGACGAGGTGTTTCGCATTTGGTTGGTTTTTGTACCACACTGATACTGAATGGATGAAGAAATCGGTTAGTTTCCGAAAACAATTTTCTGATGTAAGGTAAAGTACTTGGTTTTGAATAGTTAGTAGTTCCCATCATTTTGTAAAGGAGATTTTCCTGTTACTTTCGCAGTTTTTAAGAGTTTCAATGAGTCTTGGCATGTGCAAGTAGTGCATGTCCACGACTCTTCTTGTCAGACGCATAGTTGTTACTATTGTAGTTCAGAACTTGATTTGTGTGTGTATCTGTCACTTTCCTGCAAACTTGAGACTGTAATAACATTAATAATAATATATTGATGATGGATAATGGCTAGCAGTGGAATTCAAGACATACGTTTTGTCCTATTTGGGACTCGTCAACTGGATGTACCTGCCTCCAAGTGAGTGGTGTTGTTCCCACTGGAACTCGAACAAAATACCGATCGCTTCGAACGCCATGGCTTTATAAAGTAGGCTACAGTAACATGGTAGTCACTTCTTTTGTGATGGGTATACTTTTAAAAGTTGTTGCTTGTATTAACCTGTCGTTCAGAGGACCAAACTGATAGGTCTCTATTGATATTTAGGCTCCTGTGTGGATGCCTCGATATTGCTTTTGTTTCAATTATATAACAATGGCGGATACAAGTAACAACACTAAAACTATGCTTTCCGCACAAAAGTGGTTTTCGTAGCTCCGTGGTCTAGTGGATAACGCTCTGACGTTTGAAGCGATCGCTCCCGAGTTCGAATCCCGGTGGGAACAACATCACTAACTGGGAGGCAGGTACATCCAGCTGACGAGTCCCAAACAGGGTGGAAAGCGCATCCTCTATTCTATTGCCAGCCAGTATTCATCATTAATACATGACTGAAACACAAGCAATATCGAGACATCCGCACAGGAGCCCATTTACTAATACAGACCGATCAATTCGGTTCAATCAACGACGAGATAATACGGGCAACAACATTAATAATAATAATGGCTTTATTCTGAAAGATATTTCAGATGCAACTGTGCAGAATTTTCAGAATGTCATATAGCATCAATCGGACAGAAGCAGTGTACATGTGTGCATAATCAAATGAAGTAAACAGGAATTACACATGAAAGATAAGAATATTTACTCCATTTACAACTTTCTTGAAAATGTAAAATTAGCCTAGGTAAACGATCACACTATTAATTCCATTCATAACTAATAAGAAATAGCGAACCATGTAATCTTTAACTAGTTTGTTTTCGAAAACAAAAGTTGATTATTTAGTTTATTTTCAACACTCTTCCTCGCACAGGATAACAGCTAAACACGGTATTGTAGAGTTTTTGAATTTAGTAGCATGTGCATGGAGTTCTATATGCTTGCTCCTGATCTGACCTAACGACTTATATGCAAACTGCTTTGATTGAAGAAGATGCTGGTCATCGTATAAAAAACTTCTGTCAGATGTTTATTAGTTTAGATGTTTGTCGACAACAGTTTGAATTAGATGGTTTAGAGGTACACCACTAGTTCTGCTGACAATCTTCAAAATTTTATACAATACAATATGGCCTTTATTCAGTAACCCAGGATGGAAGAAAGCAGAAGCATAAAGGTGAATCGCCAAGGTACAGAGCACAAGAGAAGAGGCTGAGCTACACCAGATACTCTCAGCTTTCTAATGTAAAATGTTAGGTGAAAAGTTACTTTGGAAACTATTAAGATATGGGAAGACTAGCGAATGTCCAAAGAAAACTACATGCCGAGATAAATCATACTTGTGATATTCGTTAATACGCAATTATCAATAGAACAGGAATCATAAAACTAAAGCGGTCTGTATAAGTTATGCTTGCGTCTGAAACTAAGGTTTATAGTCTGTCATTTTTAAGAATTAAGTACACGACCGAATCTATGATGCTTTTTGATAATCACAACTTGGAAAGCGTTTTCGTTATTTTTTCATCGATGGTGGTGAATTGAATACCTTCAAAGATTTGGTTGATGAGATTGAAAGTGTTTTCCAATTCATTTGTTATGATTATTAAAAAAGTGTCATCATTGCAATCACTCAAAATTTTGTTTTGATTTTTGGAATGACTGTTAATTGTAATCTTTCGTCACTGCTTAAGAAATCAGTTGTATATTGGTGAGTCTATTGTAGTTCCTTTAATCAGTCATAGATCGTTTCGTTGAACTGAAACTGTGTCTTCAGACATAAGTTGATTACTTCGACCAACTTTGTAGCAGTAATTGTTTTGCTTTTGAAGAACTTAGTCATTGGTAATCCTCATCGTTTCTTTGACGATATCCAGGTTATTCGACATTAAAAGTGTAGCTACACCAAAAGAAACCTTTTTTTCATTGTTGTCCACCTCGAAATCGTTTATTCTCTTCAGAATTGAATTCCTGAAGTGACCGAAAGTTGATTTACTTTTAAAAAGATGTCTCAGTTTATTGTACAACTCTTTAGATATATTAAATGATAGTGTCCCCGGTAGTGACTCTATTAGTTGCAACAAAATGTATGCCCTGTGTATTTTATTCGCGACAAAATATAAGAAGCATTCAATTATTCATTTGTCAATGTTCTTTCCTGATTTGACTAGCTTCAACTAGGTTGTGTAATTCTTTTCAAATCTAGCTGTCCACTTGTCTGATAAGATTCTCATCTACTAGTCTATAGGGATGTTGTCATGGTGTACTTCTTTTTGCTTTTTCTATGTAACTCACCTTGTTTATGATGGTTTTCCTTTCTTTGTTTGCTGACAGGAACACAATTTTCTTGCAAGACATGAGTGGATTCAGTGATTTCTTGTCATCTGTGAGGAGTTGATGCTTCTTTCCTCTGATTTTCACAAACGTTATGTCTGGCTATCGTAATTCTTTTTGTTTTCCTGCTGTAACTATTGTGGTTTTGAGTGGAGATTCCCAGACTGCACAGAAGTCCAACATACTGGCATTCTTCTCACTGCAGCTTAATCCTTTTTGCATTAATCTCCACTCTTTTCAGAAAGATTTTTTATTTTTTTCATGTCTTTTTCCACTGATTCGGAGAACTTCAGCAATTTGTATCCCAGTTTATCTCTTCTTTTTCCGTTTAGGGTTTCTCGTTGTTATATTTAAGGTAGTGGTTAGTTTGTTTCTCTTTTCCGTTCCTGGGATTGGTTCCAGCATTTGTTGTTGAGTAGCAATTATGAGTCTATGAATTGTGTCTCATAAGGAATGAATATCCCAGGTGACTCATTATCAGCTATGAGATAGAACAGCTCTACAGAATCAAACACTCTACAGTTGTAAAGAAGATTTTTATTTACTTTAAATCAAGAAAAATGCAATATCTCAGAAATCAGCTGTATGGGTCCAAAAAAGCCACAAAAATCATGTTTCCCCTTAATTGTGTGATACTGTATACTCACTGAACCAGTCCAAATTGGACAAATATCCTGCTCATATTACCTCCAACTTGTGGTATCAAGAAGAAAATTCAACCACTTCTTTGAGCAAAATTTTGCAGAGTTTGTGCCTCAAAGGAAGCAGGATTCTCAGCAGTGCAAGGCAGATAGTTCATAGATACAACAAGCTGATACTCATAGTGCCCTAAAATTATAAGGGAATGGAAAATGCCTGAAATACCATGCTTTGGACCTATGCTAACAGAATCAGAAGGTTGTCAACTTGTCACCTACACGGTGACTGTTGCTT